TCCTCCTTTCTCCTCCTCCTCTCTCCTCCTTTCTCCTCCTTTCTCCTCCTCTCTCCTCCTCCTCCTCTCTCCTCCTTCTCCTCTCTCCTCTTTCTCCTCCTCCTGCTCTCTACTCCTTCCTTCTCCTTCCTCCTCCTCTTTCTCCTCCCTTCTCCTCCCTTCTCCTCCTTCCTCCTCCCCCCTCCCCCCTCCTCTCTCCTCCTCTTCCTTCCTCCTCCTCCTTTCCTCCTCCCTTCTCCTCCTCTGTCTTCCTCTCTCCTTCTTCCTCCTTCTCCTCCTCCTTTCTCCTCCTTCCTTCTTCTTCTCCTCCTCTCTCTCCTCCTCCTTCCTTTCTCCTCCTCCCTTCTCTTTCTCCTCCGTCCTCCCTCCTCCTCCTCGTCCTCCCTCTTCCTTCCTCCCCCCCCCCTCCTCCTATTTTAGAGACAAGGTCTTACTATGTTGCCCCTGCTGGCCTTGAATCTGAAATTTTTCTGCCAAAGTCTTTTCAGTAACTGGGATTACAGGTGCACACCACCATGTCCTGGCTTTGAGTATTTTTTTTTAATAATAACCAGTGTTTCACTTATCTTGTCTATTGGTATTACATTTAACAACTAACACATAGTAGGCTTTCAAGTATTTGTTGAATGAGTTTTAATAAATTTTTAGAATAGTCACTTTTAGCTGTTTATTTGTCATCTGAAAGCAACCAGAGGCCTTCAGTTTTTCAAGAGTGATACTAAAATTCCCCCCATGTAAAACTCATGTGATATTAATAATTGTTTCTGAAGCCAGGCACAGTGGTACATGCCTGTAATCCCAGCAGTATGGTAGGCTGAGGCAGGAAGATCTGAGTTCAAAGCCAGCTTCCGAAATTTAGTGAGGCCCAAGCAACTCAATAAGACCCTGTCTCGAAATAAAATACAGAAAAGGGGCTGGGGTGGCGATTTAGTGGTAAGCGCCTCTACGTTAAATCAATCCCCAGTACCCAAAAAAGAGAATTATTTCTGAATCTAAGCTAATATTCCAGATACTTAATTGAAGGTACAAAGCTAGATGTCTTTTCTGGTCTTGGATAACCAAAATGTTCATTAGAAACAAGTAATTGAAATTTGAGAGGTATTAGTAATGAAGAAGCTATGTTAAGTTCCTGTAATAAAAGCAGTTTTGTTGATTATTGAGTTTCGGAGATAGTCTTACTAACTCCGGCATGTTTGCTAATATTCATTTGTACATTGCCTCCTTTTATCTCCTCCTTGTTACCTTTTTATTAATGGATTAATGAAATATACAGCTTTTAAATATGAGGTCCTGACTTCTTTAAGCCTGCCTTCTTGACCTGACAAAGGAATTGTAGCAATTTTTAGTAAGAAATGTGTGTACTTAATTATAAATGGAAAGTAATAGGGATGTGTAGAAATACAAATCTTTTTTTTTCCCCTTCTTTTTGACTGTCACTTCAGTTAAGACTGAGAACTTAGTGTATTTAAAGATTAAAGGGAAAGAGTCAATAGAGATGAATATAAAAGGGAATGATTGCAAGTTTGGTACAGTAGGACAAATAACTACCCTCTGTATGTACCATTCTATCACTGCAGAACTTACTAGAAATCATACTATTTTGCTCACTCATGTGAAAAAATGCTTTACTTCATGTAAATAGCCTTTTAGAGGTCTTAATATAATATCTTATTATGAATATGATATAATAAAATTTAATGAACAATCTGGCACATTTTATGCTTTTTAATCAAATGGAAGTAGTGCTTGCTAAAATTCTTGGTTGCTGATAATATTTCAAGAAAGTATGTGAAGCTAAATCATTTACAGTAACTTTTAATCTCCCTTTCCTCATAGCTACTAAGTTCTAAGTGATGCTATTCTTGCCTCCTACTAGATGCAGGACTTGTTTTGATAAGCGAATAGGCCAGACCTTTGGGGGTGCTTTCTCTGAAACCTTTTAGGTCTCTTGGGCTGCTAGACCTCAAGTTGGCCCCTGAAGAGCAAAGAAGAGGATTATATTTCATTGGCAACAGACTTGAGGAACTTTATTGGATCTAGCAACATTGGAGATAGAAGCCAAAAATCATAGAATAACCTTCTCATTAGCCATAGGACACCAGTGGGGTAGTTAGCTCCTGTGTGACTCTTCTGAACCTCAAAATAGGGTCATAACTTTTTTTTTTTCAGGATTATTATTTTATGTATACACTTTAGAAAACTGACCATGTATTCATTGTTTATCAGTACGAGGATGTCGTCCAGGAAAGATTGTGCAGATGACTGAAGCAGAAGTCCGGGGCTTGTGTATCAAGTCTCGTGAAATCTTCCTCAGCCAGCCTATTCTTTTGGAATTGGAGGCACCACTGAAAATTTGTGGTATGTAAATGGATAAAGTTGAAAGCAAGTCTTTCAAATCATGTTTTTCTTCCCATATTTATATTGAAACTTATTTTCAATTATAAAATTGAAACTTTCATAAAATGATGTTATAGACAACAAAATATTTGTAGCATTACAACAGAAAAAAAGGTTCCAGAAATCATAACAAATAAAGAGTCCTTAGAAGTAAGAAAACAACAGTACAATAAGAACAAAAGATACGAAGAGGCCAATCTTAGAAATAATAAAATGGCCACTAAGCAAAGTCCTCACTCTACCTCACTTATAATCAGTGAAATGCAATTTAAAACAAGTCCCAACCAGACAAGGAGGCCCATGCTACGTGGGAGGCTAGGGCCGGAGTGTTGCAAGTTCAAGGCTAGTCTGGGCAACTTAGCTAGACCTGTCAAAAATAAAAATGACTGGGGATGTAACTTAGTGGTATAGCCCCTGCCTAGCATACTCAAGGCCCTAGGTTCAATCCCCAGTACCACTAAAAAATTAAAAATAAATCAAGTCTCTTATTCCAATCAGATTACCAAAAAAAAGTTCAAAGATTGATATTTAATGTTGTCAAAGATATGGAGAAATGGCATTCCAGTACACTACTTTAAAAAATGTATAGAATTTAGAGGATCAATACAGACCAGTATCCATGGTCTTCTAATTTTTTGTGGGTTTAAATTTATGTTGCAGATTATATTACTTTATACATTGTATTTGTTCAGTGTCTTTTGGCCAAAAGCATAAAGTTATGAGCTTTTAAGTCTAGTGATCTTGCTGTTGCAATGATTTTTATTCTCTTTCTTTGTGTTTTATATTAAATCATGCACCTGATATTACTTTGTGTAGTGCCCAGCAAATAAGAGATATTAGTATTAATTGAATAAATTAATTAGCTTAGAGTAATATCTGTAAGAGGTAGACGTTTAGAATTCTCTAGAAATGATCATTCCCTTTTATGAATTTAAGTGAAGCAAATGTAATTATAGATGATCTTAAAATGATTTATTATTATGGGGCTGGGGATGTGGCTCAAGCGGTAGCGTGCTTGCCTGGCATGCGTGTGGCGCTGGGTTCGATCCTCATACAAATAAAGATGTGTCCGCCAAAAAAAAAGTAAATATTAAAAAAAATGATTTATTATGCTCCTCAATTTATGATAGGGTTATGTCCCAATAAACCCATGATAAATTGAAATAACTTAAAGATACATTTATGCTGGGTCTGGTGGTGCAGGCCTGTAATCCCAGCAGCTTAGGAGGCTGAGGCAGGAAGATCATGAGTTCAAAGCCAGCCTTATCAAAGCAAGGTGTTAAGCAACTCAGTGAGACCCTGTCTCTAAATAAAATACAAAATAGGGCTGTGGTTGAGTGCCACTGAGTTCAGTGCCCCCCAAAAAAGAAGTATGGACTAAAAATACATTTATACACCTAACCTACTGAACATCAAAGCTTAACAACACAGTATGCTGTGAAATATCAGTTGTTTACCCTTATTGCATGGCCAACAACTGGGAGCTGCAACTTACTGCTACTGCCTGCCATCTCCAAAGAGTATTGTACCACTTAATCACTAGCCTAGGAAAAGTATGGTTTCTACTAACTGATATTGCTTTTGCAGCATCATAAAATTATAAGTAAAACCATCATTAGTCAGGTACCACCTGTACTTTTTAAAGGTACTCTTTCAAATGTTTTTTTAATGTAAAAATAACTTAAAGGTATTAGAAGTTATTTATACTGTGTATTTCTTAGTTCTTACTATTAGATCAAAGTAAAAATATTATACAGTAAGAGTAACTATATTATCAGTTATATAAAAAAATTGCCCCCAAAGTTTGTGGCTTACAATATTAACATCCCACAGTTTCTGTAGGTCAGTAATTGGCACAGCTTTGATAGTCCTCTGGTTCTGGGATAAGGATTGTCAAGGTTCAATAGTGAGAGGATTCCGTTTTTTATAGGCTGATAGACTGAGGGCCTCAGTTTCAAATGAACTGTTGACCAGAGGCCTCCCTCAGTTCTTTGCTGTATGAGTTTCTCCATAGACCATTGACAGGGAAGAAGGTGTAAGAATGCAAGCAGAAGTTGTGATCTTTTATATCCTAATCTTGGAAGTATTTGCCTATCTCATTTTTGTTGTTTTCTATAAGTCACAAGTCACTAGGAATAGCCTTTGCTTAAGGGGAGGGGATCGCACAAGAGTTTGAACATTGGGAGCTGTTTTGTAGCAGCTGCTTGTGACAGTAATCAATTTTTCTAAAACTAACTTTTTCTGTTTTTTAGGAGATATTCATGGACAGTATACAGATTTACTGAGATTATTTGAATATGGAGGTTTCCCACCAGAAGCCAACTATCTTTTCTTAGGAGATTATGTGGACAGAGGAAAGCAGTCTTTGGAAACCATTTGTTTGCTATTGGCTTATAAAATCAAATATCCAGAGAACTTCTTTCTCTTAAGAGGAAATCATGAATGTGCTAGCATCAATCGCATTTATGGATTCTATGATGAATGTAAGTAAAAATAAAAACTTACAAAAGAAATTAATAGAGAAAGGGTCAGGCAGCTGGGGTAGGGGCTATGGTGGTGGTGGCGGGGGCAGGGGGGGGCGCGTGGTGGTGGGATGACACAGGGTTATAGTGGCCACGGGGTTAAAAAGAAACGCTAAAGTTCCTAGGGAACCAAAGTAGAATTTTGTAAGAACAAAATGGATAAAGAGGAGAGAACCTCTGGTGGCTGTGAAGGTCCTGATGCCATATATGTCAGATTGATATCTTCTGATGGTCATGAATTTATTTAAAAACAAAAAACAGTGCACTAACATCAGAAACAATTAAAGCCATGTTGAGTGGCCCAGGTCATTTTTCCAAAAATGAAACCAGTGCATTCAGTTTTAGAGAGATTGCTTTTCATGTGCTATCAAAAGTATACATGTATTTTACTTACAAGGTTTGCTACATTAACTGCTCCACCAAGGTTCCTGAATTCCCAAATGCACCCAAAATTTCCCTGGAACTACTGATAGCTGCAAAATTCCTGGATTGTTAAGTAAATTGTAATACAAACTGTTTAAAAAACAAATTAAAAAAAAAACATGAAAGAAAAGTAAATTATAGAAACATCTTCTTAATAAGTTTCCAGATCAAAGGAATTCCTCCAGTTCAAAGTTTTTTAAAACTAAAAAACAGAGGCCTAAGAAAGGAAACTTGAAACTGGGAACCATATTACTAATGAAATTAGTTTCTTGGGATCTCCTTGGTCATGTTGTTTCAGATTGACTGTAGTTTCCTTAGGTGAAAAGGCCCTGTTTTAATAATTAGTTTACCTAGTAAGGTATCCAAGTGAAACAGGTCTCTATCAGTAGTGGCTTCAGGTTTTCTAATGTCCAGAAGTTTTTAGCTCACAGCATTCTTATGATATGACCAAAGCTCTTATTAGCACTGTGTCACAAGAACTATTGAAACATTCTGTGAAACTGTTTAAAAGTCAAAAGTTTATGCAGGCATAGTGGTGCATGCCTGTAATCCCAGCACATCCAGTGGCTGAGGCAGGAGGATCACAAGTTCAAGGCCAGACTCGGCAACGTAGACCCTAAGCAACTTAGTGGAACCCAGTCTCAAAAGAAAAAATAAATAGAAAGGGTTGAGAATGTAGTTCGGTAATGAAGTTCCTCTGGGTTTAGTTCCTGTTAATCCTCCCCCCACGGGAAAAAAAAGGTCAAATTTTATTTTTAGAATTTTAATCTGTATTTACAAACCCAGACAGATACTGAATACTCTGGGGTATCCTTATTTTATTGTGCTCTTTTTCATCAGTAGGAAATAACTGATTTAATGTTCTGTAGTAGTATTTCCAAGTATTATTATTATTATTATATTACCCTACTATATTCAAATTTTGTCTGTTAGTTTTGTTAGATTGACTGGGAGTGAGTATGTTTGGTTAATTACAATTTAGAATCAATTATGGTAATTTTCTAATTGAATTTATTCTTTTTTTTTTTTTAACTGTAGCATTCCCCATTAGAATCTACTCTTGCTTTTTTCCATCTTTAAATATGGTAGAGTCCTAATTAAACTCTTGTCTCCTTGATTTATATAATGATTTGACAAGTGTTTGAGGACAATATATATGTGTGTATACATGTGTACACACACACCAGTCACTTCTGAACACTGGGGATATAGCAGTACATCAGACAGATAACCTCTATTTTCATGGAGCTTATGTTCTAATGGGAATGATTCTGTATTTGGTTTTATATTTTATTTTTAGTTATATAATGTAGTGTGTGGTTTGACTTGTTGAAAGCAGACCTGTAGAAGGGAAGTAGGTTAAGAACATGAAATCACATCTTCCTCAAGCTACCTAAGGAATAGAAGTATATAGGTGTGTTCTTAAACGAAAATAGAGGTATGAATATTCTTGAGGATAAAAGTGACATCAAATGGAATAATGCATGGGAGAGCAGCTTGTAAACAGTGCTTGGAGTTACACTTACTCATTAAGAGATAGGCTGTAGCCTAAAAACATAGGAGATTAGTACCTGTGTCTTTCATCCCTTTTCTGGTAGTTGAACTTAAAGCCAAATCGGGAAAATCAAGTAAGTCTTAAAAAGGTGAACATGCACTTGAGGTCATCTTTGTTGTAGCTGTTTAAGCTAGGCTACAGGAAAATTATAGCCTTTATGTTGTTGCACTTGCTATAGTGCCAAGATGTAATTCACTCAAAAGTGAATATCAAGTTAAGCACTTGCAAATTTTTCTTTTTTGGCAGTAATTTTATACTTTTACTCAGTGCATTACAGTTAAAATGGACCCCTTTCACTTCTGCTTACTCACTTGGCTAGGTATTTAGTGCTAAAGTTGAAGGAAAAAGATGAACCAATACCTATTAGGCTATTTCTAAACTTCTGTATTATAGTGATCTTAAAAGACAAAAATTGTTTGATGTGTTTGTTTCATAAAACACCCAACAAAATCTTGGAAGTCTTTGTAACTTTACTGAAGGTGCTAGTGTTTAATATATTTGTTACCTTTTTTGAAGTGTTAAACTTACTCTTCTTCTTTTTTATTTTTTTCTTTTCTTTTTTTTTCTGGCTTTGCAGTGCTTGGGTTGAAACTCAGGGCCTCACATGTGGTAGACAAGTGTTCTACCACTGAGCTACATTCCCAGCTCATCAAACTTATTTTTATATAACTTGTACTTCTAGGGGGAAAGTGCTGGTTAAGCAAAAGAGAAAATTGAAATCATATGGGAAAAACTTTTAGATTTTTAAATTTATTTGCTTGTTCTTATTACAGGCAAACGAAGGTTTAATATTAAATTGTGGAAGACCTTCACTGATTGTTTTAACTGTCTGCCTATAGCTGCCATTGTGGATGAGAAGATCTTCTGTTGTCATGGAGGTAGAGTAATAAATTTGCCTTAGGAGTTTTCCTTATTGTTCCCTAACTCAGAAAAGACTATAATAATTAGAATGCTATGGGGGAACAAAGTAGTACTTATGTGAAAACTGAAGCAATTAAAACTGTATTAAGCATAGCTAAAACAATTGGAAATTTGTGATATGTATGAGTAATGAAAATTTAATTCTTTAAAAAATTTCTCATATATAAAAAAAGGATAACTAGAAGTTGTGGTTTTTGTTTGTTTGGTTTAGTTTTTAAACGTCTTGTCTTTGCCTCTATTTGTTTTGTGGTGCTCAGGATCACACCCGCAGCTTTATACATGTTGGGCAAGTGCTCTACAAGCGAGCTGCATCCCATCCCCAGTCTGTCAGTAAAAATTAGATGATCATTATTTTCTTGCCTATGTATTGCAATGTAAATACCTTTCATCAGAATCCAAATGTAATTGAACTTAATTTTTACATATTGCTGCTTTGTGCAATGTGTCTCCTTTAGTCCTAAAAGTAATTTCTTGGTAGAATGTAAGTTATTTTATATGATTTGAATTTGTAAAAATTCATTGGAATAACTAACATGTTTAGCGCTTAGGTAGATGTTGTAATGGATCATCTTGAAGAATTTTCAGATCTATTGTTAAAATATATTTAAGAAACATTAAGTAATAAATGATTTAATTACATCAGTACTTCTAGAGACAGTACATTATTATGAGAAACTAGAAAAGGGAGAAAAGTGTAGGGCACGTGTTTGTGGAGGCATGAGTTTTAGAGGGTAAATGGACTTTAGAGAAGTGAAAAGGACTTGAGACAGTCTGTGTATTGTCTAGTTTAGGGAATGTGTGCCTGATTAGAGTGTCAAAGACACATTGGGGAATGATGATATAAGACTAGAGATTTGAATACTGAGCAAAGGAGTTTGTTAAATGGTTTAATAGTATCAGATTTTGGATAGGGAACTAATTTAATGAAAATAATTGAGGGGCTGGGGATGTGGCTCAAGCAGTAATGCGCTCGCCTGGCATGCGTGGGGCGCTAGGTTCCATCCTCAACACCACATTAAAATAAAATAAAGATGTTGAGTCCACCGAAAACTAAAAAATAAATATTAAAAAAAAAAAAAGAAAATAATTGAGAAAATTTGTTTTCATCACTATATGGAAAGAGTTACACTGGGAAAATGCTGAAAAGACAGATGCACTTGATTAGACTTAAGGCAATAAATGATTTATTTTCTAACAACACATTATATTGAGACATGTTTTCCAGTAGGTATTAAACATTTAAGGGATTATAGTTCTTACACATTGGTATAGCTAAGAATAGAAATACAGCAGTATGAAATGTGAATGTTTAGCTTTGTTCTTTGTGATGACACTTGGATTGCCTACCAGAGAGAATTAATAGCTTATGTTTGTATACTACAAATATTTTCATGTGTTTTTTATTGTTTATCCTTCTGGTCAGCAGATCCTGCCTTCATGAAAATAATGAGCATGTTGGAGTGGGATGTGAGGAAAGATTCTTAGGGAACCAATGAGGCATTTTAACTTGGGAGTAAAAATATTTAAGATTAGATAGTTCATAAAGTGGCAAGTGGTGGGAAGGGTTGTAATTAAGTGTCTTTGTACAAAGGACAAGAAATGGTTGGAAAGAAAGGGGGGTCTTTCCTTGAGAAATTTTTTGAAATATAATAAACAGAACTTCATTTCCTTGGTAGGAAAGATGGAAAAGACAACATAATGATAATGTTCTGTAACATCAGGATTATGTTTCATCTTTTTATTTATAGGACTATCACCAGACTTGCAATCTATGGAGCAGATTCGGAGAATTATGAGACCCACTGATGTCCCTGATACAGGTACATATGTAAAGAAGTTTGTTTTGTGTAAAATGTTGACATATTTGAACCTAATTATATTTAGTGGAAGTAGGATTGGTTTAATAAATAATAGAGACTACTTTTATAGTCAGTAAGCTAACTACAGAGTATTCTCACTAACCATTCCCCAAAATGTATGCCTTTTAAAATTTTATGCAACCTTAATGTGGTTCTTTCAAATGTATCACAAAAAAAGATCTTGCTGTTGATTCCACTTACTTTTCTAAGTTCCCTCATTCATACCTTTTAAATTGCCGGGCATGGTGGCACACACCTGTAATCCCATTGGTCCTGAGACGGAGGATCTTGAGTTCAAAGTCAGCCTCAGCAAAAGCGAGGTGGTAAGCAACTCAGTGAGACCATGTCCCCAAATAAAATACAAAATAGGGCTGAGGATGTGGCTCAGAGGTCGAGTACTCCTGAGTTCATTCCCTGGTACCAAAAAAATAAAATACAAAAAATCCCTATTAATCCAAAGATTTTAGTTAAAGTTAGCCAAGGATAGTTGCCTTCTTTGTTATTTTTTGCATCATCTGTATTTCGTTCAAACTTTTAGAGCTCTGAAAGCTCTAGAGACATGATTAATTTTTTGAAAATTATATATGAAGTTGATTAAAAATTTTTGTGTAAATTATTGACTATTCCAACTTTAAGAACAACTCTTAAGTCAAATAAAAAAATGAATCGAGTAGGGGAAAAGCAAATAAGTCTAGTTGATGATAAAATGCTGAATTAACAAATGAGCCTGGTGTAACTTTATAAATAGATGATAGGCATAGTTGTTACTTGTTCTAACATCTCTATTGGTTTTAAAACATTGCTGAGGGCTGGGGCTGTAGCTCAGTGGCAGAACACTTGCCTGGCAAGTGTGAGGCACTGGGTTCAATCCTTAGCACCACATAAAAATAAACAAATAAAATAAAGGCATTCTATCCATCTACAAC